AACAAGGGCGTGGCCTGCACAGCGGCTAAACCAGCAGGCTCAGGAAGCAAACAGAGCTGGGTTAGAACCCCAGCACCACCCATCACAGACTGCCGGCCTCACCCCTCTATACCTCAGCTGCCTACCTGTGGAACACACCTCATAATAGTTTTTCCCTTACAGAGTTGTTCTGAGCATTAAATGAGATAATGTGTGCCAAGTGACCCGCACTTGATGGAGCTTTGCTATCTGTTCTTTTTACTACCGCTATTATTCCTCAGGAAGTGGCAGAAGTGAATCCAAATATAAGCTTTGCCTCTTACTAGCTGTGTGATTTGAGAACGTCCATCTTGAGGGGTACCCTGTGTACCCGTGCATCACCCAGTGTGCCTGGTGTGAGTCCCCTGTCCTGGCTCCAGCTCATGCCCTGGAGGCCAAGCATAACCATTTAAAATGAGGGATAGGAAAGAACAGAAAACAGACTGGAGCCACCACCTGTGAGATACTAGGAGCCAGTCGGGTAGGCACTGGGGAGGATCTGGAGACCTCAGACTTCCCTTCTCTGCCTGGGATCCCTCCTTGGCCTGCACCCACCTCAAGGCAATGCCCCTGAGGAGGCAAACTTGGTGGACCCACAAGTCAAGGTGATTCTGGTCACGTCACAGAGAATGGGAAGAAAAGAATATGAAGCGGTGGAGGTGGGGACGGGGCTGGGACTGAGATGGAGAAATGGTTACACCTGGCCTCCAGGACATGAGACTCGTGCCAGGCTCGCTGGATGATGCAGGAGTGCACAGGGTACCTCCCAAGACAGACCCTTTCCAATCACACAGCTAGTAAGAAAAAGAGCTTGTACTTGAACTCACTTCTGCTTCCTGAAGAATAATAGCCGTAGTAAAAATAATGATAGCAGCGCTCCATCAAGTGCTAGTCACTTTGCACATGTTATCTCATTATCTTATTTAATACCCTGGCAGTGTGCCCAGGCAGCTGATGGCTGAAACATGAACTCGTGTGCCCACCTTCGTGTCCAGGAGCCTGACCCTCTCCTCGGCTCAGGGAAAGGACCCAGGCCTCCTAGGTCAGGCCCATAGCTCTAGGTAGCATCTGAGTTGAAAGGGATTTGTGGTATCCCTGTTCCCATCCCCTCAATTTTCAGATGGAAGCTGAGGGGGAAAGACTTGCTCAGGAGGACACTGTTATAAGACAGGAGGCCTCAAATCAGAGCCCAGGTCTCAGGAAAAGCAACACTTGGAGTTAGGAAGAGCAAAGAAATTGTGTTTCCCTGGCTTACACTTGCTTCACAGGCAAAATGGGAATCATAGCATCTGCCTGCCTTCATATCACAGAAGTGTTCATAGCGATCAAACAAGGCTACAGATGTGAAAGTAGTCAGGTAATTTCACAGCACCTTTTACACACAGCGTCCCCCTCCATGTGCTAGGTGGGCTTGAGGGGGACCCAGGGGTGGGACGTCTGCAAGTCCCTGCTCTGTTGTAAGAGTCATGCTCAGCTGCTGACACAGCTTTCACATTGGGCTTCATTCTGCTTCTACCAGAGGGGTGTGGTTCTCATTTTTCTTCCTTTTTGCAGATGCAGAAACTGTGGCACAGAGAGATGAAGTGAGTTTCCCACGATCATGCAATTAATAAAATTTTAACCTAGATTAGGCAGCTACAAGTGATGATGTTGGAAGCAGAGCTTTTAGCAGAGGAGTTGCTAGAGGTTGTGGAGCCCAGCTTTTTCCTGCAAGAGAGTGAGCCCAGGAGGAGCAGTGACATGAAAGGGCAGGGCTTGGTGGCCAGGCAACGGCCTTCAGCACAGCTGATGCTACCCTACACGGCTGCAAGTGCCTCCGCCTTTAACCATGGAGCGTAACACCCACTGACCCTTGTCTTCCAGCTCTCTTTCTCTGCCCCCAGCCCTCAGTTTCCCCACCCAGGGCCTGCTAGGTCCTTGTGCTTACCCTTCTTCAATGCAGGCCCACCCTAGAGCTGCCAAATCCATATATTTTCCATCTCAGTCCCACCACCACCCACCTCCACTGCTTCACATTCTTTTCTTCCCATTCCCTGTGACATGACCAGAATCACCTTGACTTATGTGTTCACCAAGTTTGCCTCCCCAGGGACATTGCCTTGAGGTGGGTGCAGGCCAAGAGGGGAGCCCAAGCAAAGAGGGGGAGTCTGAGGTTCCCAAATCTCATTAGTGCCTACCTGGCTGGCTCTTAACATCCCATAAGTGGTGGCTCCAATCTGTTTCCCATTCTTTCCTATTCCTCTTTTCAAATGGCTACGCTTGGCCTCCAGGACATGAGACTGGAGTTTGACACACCCCACGATACTTTCGAAAATCGGAACTTCACGGTACAATAAAGCTGATCTTACTTGCTAACTTCAGTTCTCCTAAAGATATTGCTGAGGATTTGTGGATTAGTTCAACATTCACACACACACACACACACACACACACACACACACACACACTCTCACACAGCGCTACATCTTTGCAAACTACTTAATACCAGAAAAGAAGGCCTAAGGATCACTGTGTAAGAATTCTGGGTAAATTAATGTTGCAAGAGAATTTTCATAATAA